AGAGGCTGCCGTGATTGGAAATTGGAACAACGATAAGAACTGCACTCGGATCAGGAACAAGACGATTGCTTGGTGTGATTCAATACGATGTGCTAGCTAGAGAGAGAGCCTTCATGGCAGGACGACACGCCATATTGCGTTCCTACGGAGCGGGATGCGCGAGGGCGCCCGACTCAGCAATACCAAGTGTTTGGCCTTGCTCTCGTACCTACGGGAGAGGCGGATAATGAGTACAGGCGCATTGGTCTGGCGGAGTTCATCACTCCTTCCTGGGTTCAAAGAGGATAGTAAACGAAAGGTCACACTTGCCTAGAGTCGTATCACTACAGGTACTTCTACAATACGTTCATATCTCACGTCTTATAGAGCCAGGATGAGTGCATGAAACTCCTGTGTTCCGTATGAATGTGTTGATATATAACGATCACGACAGTTCATCTCGACGACTATTGCATTCAGGGAAGCGGATAGGCCTGGTAGCTTGGTGCATTATCTCCAGTGCAGTAACTCAGTGGTCGCTTCTTCTGCACATGAAATGTATTCACTTGGCAGCTTGAACGTATTCGAATGGCGGCAGGGCAGAAATCATTTTGTCATTTTCGTTCTCATCCGGAATTTGGTTTGTGGGCATCGTTACTGAAATTCACGTCGTAGAGCTCATGTCATTGATTCACTACGCTTCTTCTTCAAACGAGCATCTAATGAGGTCCAGCGTTCACCAAACCGCATCTTTAGGACATGATAATATAAAATAGCTGTGCCTCCGACGCCCCCTTGGTCTTCTACTCGCACCATCAACAGAGAAACAAGAAGCACATCAAACAACGCAACACTACAGAACCAAGTTCAGCACTTAAAAGTCTTCAACTCAGAAACTCACTTCCAACACGACCAACCCCTAAATCAACGCGCAATGTCTTCCTCAGTCCCTGCTAGCCAAAAGTGCTCCAAGTGTGGCGCTGAAGGAGATCACTACGTAAGTAATCATTTACCTCAATGGAAAACAGCGGTGGATGACAGGGCTAACAAGATACCTATGCAGTCAACCAGTTGCCCTGTGGCCAACCATCCCGACTCCGCTGTCAGATAGTAAAAGCTATTCAGTACTTGAGAGTCATGGAAAAGGGCAGTTTTTGCAAGGAATGAATAGATACCCAGGGCATGCGCATGGAAGTCAAACGTACTAAGAAGTCATAAAAAGTAGTGAAATTGAAAAGTTCTAAAATCAAAACACCCTATGGCCTCGGTGGCAATGCGATCTGTGTTTGGATTCATTATCTAATTGGTGCAAAACATCCAGACTGAGATTGCACTATCACGGCCTCACCAGGCAGACGTCTTTTAAAATTCTCCCCAGGTTTCTACGCTATTCAACAAATAGATTAAGAAAGAAAACTGATTACGGCTGAATACCCCGTCTTAACAATTCATGTAGACAGCTAATCTGCGTCAGCTAAAATTCATGTTCAACGTGCGATTGTCACTCTAGTGACTTACCATTGGCATAGAGGGAGTAGTTGTCAGCGTTTTGTAGCGCACGCTCGGGGGGCAGTGCAACACTTGCGTTGTATGCGTATGCGTAATCATTGGTGTGAGGCTCATATACGGCTTCGCAATGAGTCGTCTCGTGTATGGTAGTCGTGGCCTGGCACTGGCGATGGCACCCCTGAGGCAGCGGAGGCAAGCCGTAAAAGAGAGGGCACATGACCATGGTATTGACGTCCCAGGCGGTGTACGCGTTGAGTGGGCCGTCTATTTCGCAGACGCCGTAGTAGTCGTAGCAGAAATAGCGAGAGACCCCGGAGTTCGTGGTTGAACATTCTTGCGCGACATTTTTGAGTCTGGTGACGACGGTGTTGCGAGTTTCAGAAGAGTTGGTCCCGAAGTATTCTATGAACCTCTTTGATGAGGGATCCGCGGCATCGGCAGCGGCCGCCAGGGCTAGCACCTGGCAGTTCGCCAGGGCCTTGAGGCTGGCATCAGAAGTTGTTTCATTGCATCCCGCCTGTACGTTTGTACGCTCTGCAAGGGCCGGGGCAACCATAAGCCCACTGGCGGCCACTGCATCAACGTCGATATCGACGGTGTTGGATTTAAAAGCGATTGCAGGCTGGTCAAAGGATGTTGACGAGGCGAGTCCAACCGGTATCAAGCCATCTGCGATGACAGAAAAGCGCCCGGACTTCTCAAAATAATGCACCTTGGCGACGTCGATAGCAACGGCGATAGACTCTCCAGCTGAGAGAAACTGGAAATGATTCGGTCTAAGTGCATCATACTGTATGCTTGGCTCAATCCCCCTGAATGAAACGAGGCCTCCTGTTCATCCGTCAACAACCACTCTGTTGTTTATGAAGACAATGCCATACCTGATTGGTCTGTAACAACTACACGCTGGACTGGAAGCTTATCGTCCAAAATAGTTCCTACTTTGAGCAAGTTGAGATCATCAGCACCGTTATTTTTGATTGTTGCGATGACTTCTGTGGGAGTGCCACACGCAGATGGTGCCAAGGTCACCTCTAGCCCGGAGTCGCGTTTGTTAAGCCGGGTGCCGTGGGCGCCAGGGTGAGCGTCGGCAATAGCCAACGCTGAAAGAACGAAAACTTTCTGCCAGAGCATGGTAAGTCCCGCAGAGTGTGAAGATTCCTCGTAAATATCAAACAGGCACGAGAAGTCGATCGTTAGATCCTTAAATATCAAGTTTTGTCTCCCAATTGCCAGGGCACACATCCTGCCGCAGCCTTGTTTGTCTCTCTTATTGAGGAAGGTGCCCGGATGTCTGGGGTTTTGCACTTTAGACGGCCCAATTATGGAAGGCCAAGCTCGTATTCAAATTTGGAAATCCATGTTAGGTTGCTCGAATGCCGGCAAAGTGACATCGGCTGGAGTGGGTCTCAGGGGCGATAAGGCCTAAGCTGCTCGTGCACTCTAGGGGCCGTTGAAGCCATTTGCGATAATCCTCTTTCGAAAAGGCTTTGAAAAGGGGCGGGTTGTTAAAGACATGGTAGTGAACGAGATAGCTGCCTGTAGTTCAAGGTAGCGGCCAATCACCGTTGTTGATAGAGAAGACCATAGAGAAGACTGTTTTCAGCGAGAAACCACAAAACTTGTGGTGGCTTCTTTTTCATAGCCCAGTCACGAAATCGTGTGAATATAACGTCGTACTTCGAATCACAAATCCCGTGATACATCTCTTCATTGCTCTTCCACTATGCTTAGGTAGGGATGGGCCAATTCCCTCAGTCTAAGTAGCATTCGATGGCATCTGTGAAAGGTTTCCAGAAGAGATGCAAGGTATCAGTTGCCGGGCTAAAAGAGAGTCGGTTTGTAGTAACCAAATAGTCTTTGCAACTGTCTTGTCCCACCGGCAGAGATCTTAAGTATAACTCTTTGTCCACTCCAACTGTTGCGAAAAGCAGCGACGGCACAACCCCGAGGTAGCGGAGTGTGGGGACTCCCGGCCGGTCTTTGCGGGCTAATGTGCGGGGAAAGAGCCGGCTGTTCTCCGGCAATTACAGAAACATTGGAGGCGTCACTACCTAGTGTTGCTGGTCAGATCTCACGGGGAGTATCGGAGCCTGTGAGTTGCTGACATCCCCACTCCCCCACCACCTCGACATCCATCGTGACAATTAATCGGGTCTGGCTTCATGCTGCTTCACTCTTCACAGGACGGAGGAAACCCATATCAGCCCACTCGTTTCCGGGTCTCAGGCGGATCATTCCGTTCCTCATGATGGCGGGCCGTTACTCCGCACGCTATTTAACTTGATTTATCAGCTTCAAGCTACATAAATACGACTACTCCATCCACATCTCGTCTTCAACTCACTCTGTCGTCCTCGATATTACCTCTACGCCTGGCTAAAACACAAGATGTCGTCCGAAACTCCCACCCTCCGATGGGGAATCATCGCCACCGGTCTCATTTCCTCGTGGTTTGTCGAAGACCTGGTCCTTGAGCGTTCCGACGCCAAAGCCAAGCACATTGTCCAGTCTGTCGGATCATCGTCACTAGAAAAGGGCAAAGCTTTCGTCGAGAAGCATCTGCCCGGCCACAGCCCGACTATCTATGGCAGCTATGCCGAAGTTTACAACGACCCGAACGTTGATGCTGTGTACATCGGCACCCCGCACGCTTTCCACAAGCAGAATTGCCTGGACGCGATCAATGCCGGCAAGAACGTTCTCTGCGAGAAAGCCTTCACCATCACCGCCAAGGAGGCACGTGAGGTCTTTGACGCTGCTAAAGCGAAGGGCGTTTTCGTCATGGAGGCGATGTGGACTCGCTTCTTCCCCCTTACGCGGTCTCTTCTGAACGTTCTGCACAACGAGAAGCAAATCGGCGAGATTCACCGTGTCTTTTGCGACTTCGCCATGAACATGAACATTGCTTCTCTCGGCCCCGACTCCCGTTTGAAGAACCCCGCTCTTGGCGCCGGTAGTCTTCTCGACATTGGCGTCTATAGCCTGACGTTCACGATTCTCGGACTGGATCCCGGTGTTGGAGAGAAGGCCGAGAAGCCGAAGATCGCTGCGACTCAAACTCTGTCAGACGATATCGACATTGCGACATCCGCTCTTCTTCTGTATCCCAGCGGAAAGCAGGGTATTCTAACTGCCTCGACTCAAGTCAAAACACCTCCAGCATTCTGTAGAATCGAAGGCAGCGACGGATATGTTTTGATCGAAGGCATTGCCACATCCGTTCCCGGCTCTTTCACTGTCCATTCTTCAAAGGCGTCTGGTGAGGGATGGACTGAATCAACCACACCTGGTTTGAAGGCAAAGAAGTACGATTTTGAGAGGCCTGGCAAGGGCTTCTACTACGAAGCCGATGCAGTGGCTTTGGACATCAAGGCTGGGCGCAAGGAGAGCGAGACCATGCCGTGGGCTGAGACCATCCGTGTTATGGAGATAATGGACGAGATTAGGAGACAAGGTGGCGCGAGGTTTCCCCAGGATGATCAATAGAGCTTACATGTAGAAAACCCGATTTATAGAAGCTCAATAAGATAATATGACATCCAGTTGTAGATCATCACCGTAAAACGCCAGTGTTGATAGACAGACCTGCTGCGCCATATTTTGCTCGCAAAGTTAAACCAAGAGCCAACCAAAGTAGATCTCGCGGCGAATATGAGAAGTCCTCCAATGAAAACAACCACTAGGTGAAGACCCGATAAGGCAGTTGACCCCAGAGAGTCCAGCATCTGGCCGCTGATAGGCATGGTAAGAAGAAGAGAGAAGCTGATGACGAAGTTCGTCGTCCCTAATAACTCAGTCAGTCGGATCATTACCTGATCAGTTGGCGAGGATACTTGCCGTGATATCTGCCGCAGTCTTTTGGCTGGCACGTCTTACCCATACACACTGTCGAGGGTATCAAGGCAAGAAAATATCAGCCACTAGGATTAAGATTGCACTGTCAAAGGGCCTCAATGCGACTTACCTGGCGTTAGAGACAAAACTGACCCTGTTCCGAACCCCCATAATGCGGAGAAAGCATACAGTGCCTCGATACGACTTGATCCAAACACGGTCAGTGTTGCCGCTGTGGATATCAATGTGAACAACACCATAACCAGCAAGATATTGAAGTGCCCAACATGGCCGCCCACCAGACCGGGAAGAATGCGCCCAAGAGATGAAAGGCCGTTGAGAATCGCGACCATGTTGTAGCCAGACTCCACAGGAAACCCGGCCCATGCAACGAGAGTTGGCAATATAGCTGTAGCGCCGAATATCACAAACTCCAGGAGGAATATAGCACCTGTGATAAGAGAGAAGGGCCCCGAACGAAAGGCTGAGAAGTCCATTGCTGCACTCTTCTTACTGAGGCCAATGGATCGAGTGTCGTCCTGAGCTTTGGAGACCAAACGAGAGAACGGCGAGAGACAAGCCATACCCAGCAACATGATTCCTAGGACGATGAAGCCGAGCGCCCTCATGGACCATCCCCATCCCCACATTGGGAAAATCTGTCGCAAATCTAGAGGGAATACGATGCTTCCGGTGGAGGAGCCCGCTAGTGCGATCCCCATTGCTAGGCCACGTCGACGATGGAAGATCTTGCCTATGACAGCGATGCCGATAGTGGTGGAAAATGCATTGCCGATCCCGCCCAAGACTCCTAAACACAGAATGAAATGCCAGTAGACTTTGTACTCAACCAGCAAGAAAAACATCGGGACCGTACACGCAGCTGCTAGCAGTGCTAGATATGTTGTCCCGAAGACGTCTACGAGCGGACCGGTCTGAATACCGAGGAACATGGTGAGAAATGTGTAGACACCGGTGATCCATCCAATATCTCGAGCGGGATACTGTTCAAGCTGGTTCTCTTGGAGATATGCTTGTACAGTTCCTACGGATTGAATAAAGCCTGCATGATAGGTGTTAGCTCTATGTGACCCGAATTTGAGACATCGACATTTGGTAAGTACCGAACGAGGGCATCAGGAAAAGGAAAGACCCGATAACACATATCCATGCTGATCGTTGAATCTCGGTCACAAATTCGTCCTCTATAATGGCGTTCAGGGCCTCGGACTGGTTCTCTGGCGGTTCTTTTGACGTATGATCTGTCTTCGGAATACCACGCTGTCTTGCCGATGTTGCCATTGCTCTCGATAACATGGAAGTAGACTCGAAATCATTCTGCCATAGTGCCCGAGTCTTTCGATCAGGACTACAAGTGATAGATTGGATATTGTCAGGTCTTTCAAACCTGGCCACGCATACAAGGCGTTTCAATGGTAACAGCGGAGTTGGCGGGGTTAGTGTGGGGATCCTGGGCAGATCGGCCCCGGGTGCCGACTGGTCTCAGACCGGCGGACAGTTGTTCCTATTTGGGACTTGAGTTAGGCGAAGCTTTCCCGAAGTCGATTATATCAGTCGGGAACAACAAGTGTCACTTTACGCCAGCTTGAGGCCAGCTGTTATGGCTTGTCACAGCGAGGATCTCTTCGCAAAGTTTTGGGCAGACATTAGATCTCTGACGTTTCCAATGGCTTTGCCGTTCTGCAGCTTCGGGGCCTTTGCCACTGACATGAAATTCTTTATGGGCAGGTCACTGAGAGTTATAATGCCCCCCCCCCCCCCAAAAAAAAAAAAAAAAAAAAAAAAAAAAAAGGAAAAAGCATTGAGAATCTTCTAAGTCATATGGTGATGTAATTCGTACTAGATAGCGCGGCGGGAAACTGAGTAGCCCTTGATTACTGCATATGAGGTTGAGAGACATTAGACTGAGCTACTGCGCTTATGATGCCTTAGTTCTAACTTACATGATAACGTTGTGCAAAATCAGTAATGGACACATTGCGGCGGTAAGGCGGTAAGCTTCCCGCTGACGCCAAGCCTCTTGGGATCTGAAGGGGAATGACGACGGCGGGTTGATGGGCTGGCTATTTTTACTTTAAATGCTTTAGTCGAACGCTTGGATAGTTTGCCTAGTAGGATGTTAAAGTGTCCTTAATTGTATTGAACGTAATTCGTAGACATTTTAGAGAAGCGTGTAAGTTGGGTCTTCAGCTTGCAGTAGCAACACTGGCATTTCAACGTCCTCTCACAAGGCCCAGCACGAACTGGCTACAGTCTGAATTCAGACACCTAAATTCGTCATGGGCATTGAGAGGTCTCTCAGTACCCAGCAGGTAGATTCAACTCATCAACACACACCCGACCAGGAAACAGTCTCGCTTGGCCCTGACAGCCGCATTGAGCATGTGTATCTCACATTCGACACAAGTCTTCCAGAGCCCGTCTTACAACCACAATCGCAACCTGAAAACACTCCTCCTCGTCCCAACCTCCAATCGTACAACTCTCCGCTCGAATGGTCTCCGGCTCGAAAATGGCTTCTGCTCACACTCGCCTGCACTGCGACATTCCTCACCTCGTATACCGCAGGCGCTTACGCTCCGCCGATACCTCTGAAGCAAATTACGTTTAACTCCTCGCACCTCGCTGTCCCAAGCGGATTGACGACATTCACTATTGGTTTCGCTATATCGCCAATGGTACTCGCTCCTTTCTCCGAAATCAACGGTTGATACCCTGTCTTTGCTGCTAGTGCTATACTCTATACTGCACCCCAAATCGCGTGTGGGGGAGTGACCTCCCTCGCAGGCATGCTTGTTGCGCGTTTCTTCACAGGCGTAGGAGCCAGCGTCTCCAGCACCATGGTAGAGGGCTTCATCACGGATCTCTGGGCAAAGGAGAACTGCAACACCCCTATGGCTATCTTCAGCGGCGCCGGCATTGTAGGAACCGGGGCAGGTCTAATGGCCGCTGCTGCGATCGTACACTTCCATGGCAATGAGCAAACTGGAGCTGGTTGGGAGTGGGTATTCTGGCACATGGCCATCTTGACAGGGGCAACAGCTATCTTGCTGTTGGTTTTCATGCGCGAGAGTTGAGGCCTAGTGCTTCTGTCTGAAAAAGCAAATGCACTAAATAAGTGGTACGAGGAGCTGGAACAGCTGGGAGCATACGGGGTCGTCTTTCCGCATGTCGAGCCATATGTTGGGAGCACATCACCAGGCCTAGGTTCGCAACTTAGGAGGATACGATGGGTTGTCAAAGAAGATGAGGACCGAATTTCCATCAGCCATACAATTACCGTTTCTGTCTGCCGACCATTTCGTCTTTTATTCACCGAGCCAGTCGTCTTCTTCTTTGCGCTGTGGCTGTCTTTCGCCTGGGCAGTTCTCTTTCTTACCTTCGAGTCGATCGCGATCGTATACGAGCGCGTCTACAACATGTCTCCTTTCGAATCAAGCCCAGCGTTCTCCAGCCTAATCGTAGGTGGTACAATCGCGACGATGCTGTGCATCTGGCTAGAAAGCCTCCTGCGTATATACCAATGGCAAGGTGAACCGGCAGACCCGACATATGCACATTCCAACTTCTGGACTTTCATGAGGCGCCACTTTCCGGTCGATGTCCCTGAGTCTCGACTTTACTTCACCTGCATCACGACTCTTTTACTTCCACTTCGTCTGTTCCTTTTCGGTTTCCTTTCACGTCCTGAGATACATCATGCTGTGCCGGCTGTGGCTATAGGTATCGCGACTATCGGTATCTACTCCGTCTATCTGGCAACCTTCAACTACATTGCCGATACCTACGGGCCGTATGCCTCATCTGCGCTGGCCGCTCAATCATTCTGCCGAAATATTATGGGCGGAACCTTTCCTCTCATTACCACTATACTCTTCCAAAACCTTGGAGAAAAGCGCGCAGGTGGGCTCTTAGGAGGTATCGCAACTGCACTCGGCATCGTCCCGTGGATGTTAGTATTCTTTGGCGAACGTATCCGTAAATGGAGCAAGTTTGCCCAGGTAAGCATGCCGCAATTCTTTCCCTCTTGTCGAGGCTAACTTCGCTCCTGAACAGGCACTCGAGAAATCGTAGCTACAGACAGAACCGACATATATCACGAGAGAAAAGAGAATGCCTGAAGAGAACGGAGGAGATGGTGTGCCTCTTGATCATGAATTGAAATGGTCATGAGTCGCAACACGAAAGCTGGACGCTATTTGCCATGCGGCACAAGGATGCTGGCATGGCACAGTCTACCTTCTCGAGCTTGGAAACATCTCTGCAGGATTTTCTGATTAAAAGAAATAGGCTCTCCGTAATACAAGTTAAGAGCCCAGCCGTCAGCGCGGGAGATCACCGCTCTGCCGCCCTGGCATATTTCTCCGCAAAATTCTCCGGGACCTTACCTTTAACAGGCCTTTGCCGATGACGAGTGATCGCGTGATTGCAGGGACCCCAGATTCTATTCGATGAGCTCCCAGTTTGACTCGCCAGGTGACTGTCAACCAATATCCAGAGACGACACAGTTTCCCAACGGAGTCGTGCTCCGACACCTCGGCATCTCCAAGGCATGATGGTCGGCGAATTGAGGCTCATCTAAGCCGTGATCATGGGGGACCTCGTGAACGATGTAGACGGTATATAAACTTGTAGATTCTTCTCGTTGCCAATCAAAGGCACCGAGCTTTCAGTGTTACTTTTGGCTATTCCCCGCAGACCCTCTTTCACAATGTTGCCCCAACTCTCTTTTCTCTTGGCTCTGCCCCTGTTGGCGATCGCCGTTCCTTCACCAGCGCCCCTCGAGCACAGCAAGAGGGCCATAACTTGCCTGAAGGTCGGGGCTACTGCAACCGCCAGATGGACGAACAGTGCCGGCAAATCATGCACTTTCACCGGCGTGGTCGGTAGCAACTATGGCACTAACCCTTCCGGCTCCGGAGAGTAGGTCAAGTCATTCTCCGGTAACTTAACATTATTTACTTACATGGCTATTCATAGCTACTCTTGCAACGGTCGCTGCGGTGCTGGCTGCACTGGAGCTTCTTTGGGCAATGCGTACACTCAAGACTGCTTCTCTCATGACATCTGCTCCTACTTCAACAGCGCTAGCGGCGGTGCAAGGTAAGCTTCTCGTACTCGTCTCTTGTGAGCTAGCCAAGATGCTGACATCAGTCGACAAGCGATCCCAACTGCGGTGCTGCCTACAATGCTGCGGTTGATGATACCACCCTCGGCGTTGTGAATGGTTGCGGACAGACGAACCCGTCCAACGCCGTATCCAAGCCTTCCACGAGCCCTGTCTGTACTTAGTAGAGAGATAGAAGCATGGGCAAGCCCATCATTAGTGGCTGTGATGACTGTGTGAACATAATGAGTTGTAAGAGAAAGGTTTGGAGTCTGGACATATAATAGTTTTTAAAAAACAATTGGTATTGAACTACTCTACATACGAAAGTCGAATGCAATCTTCAAGAACTTTTATAACAATTCTCTCGGTGTCTCCCAGCGCATGCTAGTACTAGAAAGTACTTTTGGGTATCATCGCAACTGTCGCTATGGGAGGCATTGACAGGAATAAGAGGACGGAAACAGAGGAAAACGGACGGAAGAAACCAGCTTGATGTTGTTCTTAGTGGCCTGCATGGTCATCTCTGTACTTCGGGTAGTCGAAGAAATCATCAAAGATCTTTTCGGTGCCAGGAGAGTCCTCTCCGTTGCCTGGGTTGAGGACGGAAGGTGTGTCTCCCACTTGCTGCGAGAAGCCGTCGGTGAGGTCCATCGTGGTTTGGTCATGGTCAGGGAAAGGGGTGCTTGCAGAATTGTCCGCATGGCTTGGTCGCAGATCGCCGACATAGCGGATGGGCTCTGAACCCGACTGAGAGCTCGCAACAATCTCGGGTCCGTAGTGCAGGGCGCCAGATCTCATCAACCGAGCAGTATCTGAGGCAGCGGCGATGTTGCTGTGCTGGGCATGAGGCTGTTGGTAAAAGCCGTGCCGAGAGCCGTCGAACTGTTGGGTGTCGCCAGCTTGGCTCGACGAAGCCGGTCCGAAGCCGAAGAACGGATCGTGGGCAGAGAGTCCTCGGGCGTTATCGTAGATTCCAAGGTCATGTTGCATAGACCGAGGGCCGTTATTGGCCTTTAAAAGGAGTCAGCGATGTACATTATGGTCAAGAAGGCGATTGTACCTGGCGGGGGACGTTGGTAGGGCGAAGACCGTTGAGTTGAAGGACCTGAGGGTCCACATAGCGCGGAGGTTGAATGAGGCCGGTGGTCTGGAGCTGAGCGTCGTTTCCGACAGAGTTCCTGGGGCCTGCGTACGGTAGAGGCAGGGGTGAGCGGGCAATGACACCAGTGCGGGACTCCTGTTGAGCATTCTCAAGCTCGATTCTCTCATCCTCCTCTTCGTCCTTTGCCGTCATGTCTCTGGCCTGTGCTTTCGAGCGACGTGCCTTCTTGGCCGGCGGCTTGGCCTGGTCGTCCTCCTCACGGGCTCTTTTGGTTGCTTTGAGCTTTCCGGTCTCGCCAGTCTTGTTGCCAGATTCTGCAGCTTTGGGGAACCTCGTTGGGTGAGGACTGTTGGAACCGCTCAGGATGTCGCGAAGACGAAGGACCCTCGGCATGACATGATTGCTGTCCTTCCATTCCTGAGTAAGGTCTTGAGGTTCTTGGTTGCCACTGTCGATGTCCTCGACGTGAAGCAAAATTGCCGCGTACCAAAGATAATTCTCGCGACGGTCACAATCGAACATCATTTTCTCACGACATGGGACGTCATCGTTGACGAGGTGCTGCAGCATCCGCTGCTGTGAATACAGCTTGATGTACTTGCCCCTGGAGTCATTGCTGTTGAGCGCCTGAAGAAGGAAGAGAGCATGGCGGGTTCGAGGCGCGCCGTTGAAATGGAATCTGTTGATCGCGTTGGAGATCTGGGCAGTCACCTCCTCTGCAGTGACAAGCTTTTCGTCGTTTCCAGGAATCTCGTCCTGGGCGTTCTCCTCTCTGCGACTGCCCTTGTGATTGTTCTTCTTACCCTGGCGCTCGCCTCCCGGAGCCTTGTCGTTTCCGTAGCCAGCCATTGTGGTTTTCTCGCTTTGTTGTCAGCTTGTGGGCGTTTTTGGTGTGGAAGGGGATGGTTGAGGGTCCAATTTGATGGAAAACGCGTCGAAAGAAGTGTGCAGGGGACCAGCAAATTTGGCAAAAAAAAAGGATGGAGGACAAGAAAAAGAATTTTCACAGCAGCAGAGAGTCGAGAGATACAGGGTGAACTGAAAGAAGCAGAATAAACATGGCTCGGAAGCTATCTGTATGTGTGTCTGGTCTCTGAATTGGCGCTGGATGAGGGCCAGTCAGGGGAGCCAGCGTGAAGACCATGTCATATCTTTCTCAGTCTCATAGCTTCTTCCCCGCCTTGGGTTCATCGACCTTCAGCTTTGAAGCTTGTTCCACAATCATGCCAACTCAACCTGTTTCACTCTTCCCTCCTTCGTCACCTCATCGACATCCGCTCCCTCGATATCCTTCTCCTTGCCCTCAGGCTTGCCTTCGAAGACCTCTCGGATTTCCTCGAGCGTGTGGCCCTTGGTCTCAGGGAACAAGAACCAAATCAGGCCGAGCAACAGCCCGAGAATACAGCAAAACACGATGTAATACTTCCAAGCTATCGACTTCATCGCGATTGGGTTGACCTGGTTGCCAATAATAAGACCAGTAAACGCTGTGATGTACGTAACTGAGAGGCCACGACCACGCAGAGTATAGGGGAAGATTTCGACCGGGTATGCTTGCAAGAGTGGCGTCCACGCAATATCGTAGAAGAAGTAGAAGATGAAGATGAATCCCACGACAGCTCTTCCAGTCGCCTCGTTTTTGCTCGTCACGAAGTAGGACGTCAGGCCGGTCCAAATGATGTAGCTGGCAAGCATGCCTCCTGTGGAGATGAGGAATAACGGGCGGCGTCCGAGACGATCCACCATGAGGGCTCCAAGGAAAGTCGAAATGATCCAGTTGAAAATTTGTAGCAGTCCGTTGATGAGAGTCTGATCCTTGACTTCAGTTATGCCGATCGTGTTGAGGACAAGCGTTAAGTAGTATGAAACCACAGCCACACCGTTCTACGCGGGGTTAGCCAGTTGTACCGAGGATAATTGCAGAAAACCACCTACCCATTGACTAAAGAAGCCGACGATTACTGCAAGGAGGGTCCGTTTGCGGTTCGCAGGGGTTCGTACAAGCTCAAGCCAGGAGGATTGTGACATGGCTTCAGCTTCGGTATTGAGGGTTTGCTCGACCTCGCGCATTTCAAATTCGACTAGAGGGTTGTTGAGGTCTCCGCCCGCATGGTAGTCTGCAAACACCTTCCGGGCTTCGTCTTTACGGCCACGACTCATGAGCCAGCTTCATGTCATGAACGTCAGTTATGATCTACAGGTTTTACCGCGTCAGTCTTGAGCTTACCGAGGTGACTCTGGTAGGAAGAAGAGGCCGAGCAGCTGAATGACCGGAATAGCACCTTGCAACAGAGATGGAATTCTCCAGCTCCACGCTGTAGGGTTCTTGAAGGTTCCGTATGTGCACCATGCAGCAAAGATAGATCCGAAGTAGCTTGAAGTATGTCAATGATCTGCCAACGAAGGTCTGCAGCAGTCTGACTTACAAGAAAGTGTTGTAAAGTGCCGTGACCTTGCCTCGCTGAGGCGGGTAGGCCAACTCTGTGATGATGATGGGGCTTGGCTGGCTGATGAAGGTGGTGAAAAAGCCGAGCAGAGCTCTTGCGGTAACAAAGCTTGCCAAAGAGGGAGATAATCCCTGGAGGATAGCAAATCCGATACAAGCTACCAATCCAATGCCGAGAGGCAGCTTGCGGCCCCAGCGATCAGAGATATAGGTAACGAAGAACAGAGCAACGACTTTGCCGAGCGGGTAGACCGCATTCATGAGACCAAGGACCGCGCCCTCGGGGTTTCCAAAGAACCCACGCCATTGAGGCAGGGTTTGGAGACCATTCATCATCGAGCCTGCATCGAGGTCAGCTTGAGTCCTCAAATCGCGAAAGACATCGGTTGATTTCGTACCATCATAGCCAACTGAAGCTGAAGAAAATAGGGGAACAAGTAGGCAGAGATTCAGTTTAAACAAATGCGATGTTCGGTACCATGGTTTCGGGTTCGCTGGAAGGACCTAGAAGTCTCGCGTCAATGAGAGTGCTCGGCCACAAAGGATGATGTCGCGAACTCACAGCTGCGAGTGCTGAACCAACAGCAAGCTCCGTCTCCTTCCTTTTCCCGAAGACACCCATGATGACCTAGGATGTCTTTACCAAAAGTGGGAGAATTTTGCCGGATTTTCTCCAGCAAGATCGTCGTGACTAGGTGCGAGCAATTTCGGCCGAGGAGACGAGCGACTGCAGGACGTCCAGCCGAATGATGCAAACTCCATCAACAAGAGGGGAACCATGCCATTTAACTGCTCGCCAATTATGCCCCCGTCCGCCTTAACCAACATCACGTTTCCCAGCCACCGAGGTTCGAGACTCTCGGCGCGTCTCCACGGTTCCATCCAACCCCAGACAATCTCCCCATGGGGTAAAACGGGAGCCGGAACTCGGGTGCCAAGATGTCTGGAAGTCGGAAGCCAGGTTAGCTCCGGGTAAGGGTTCGGCATCCATCAGCTCCGATACTCCCCGGCCCATTTCGACCAAATCAGCAATTGTGGCTCGGGCCCGATACTCCGCAAACCACGGCGTTGTCTCGGGGAGTGTCGGCGGAGACAGTCCACAGTTTCCCCAGTGGCTTCTGGCAAGTCATTGGACGACATTCACGAGACGGATCATCCTTTGGTCCATTCCCACATGCATATGTCATATTGAGGCTCTTCGGAGGGGTTTTGAAGATATCAAATGCAATCAGAAAGATTCGCCTGCATCAGCTCCCACACTATTGACGATAGCATCACTACTTAAAGTGTTCCCAACGACCGCCTCTACTCTTACGATCTAACCCAGATTGCAAGTCGCACCGAGATATATCGCGAATACACGACTGAGACCGTTGGCCGCCGAAGAGCTAGTCAACCAATCAACTAGACCTCGTTCGGCTCTCGGACCTTTCATCATGGCCGCTCAACGGATCCTCAAGGTCGGCATCATTGGCTGCGGTGAAATCACCCAGGTCGCGCACATCCCCAACATCAACTTCCTTTCTCAGTACTTCCAAACAACATACCTCTGCGATATCTCTCAGCAAGCCCTCCAACACTGCGCCAGAAAGGTCCAGGGTGGAGCGCCGAAGACGACCAATGATGCCGCCGAACTCTGCTCCTCGCCCGATGTTGATGTCGTGGTGATTGCCAACGCCGACGCCTACCACGTCAAGCACGGCATCCTGGCTCTTCAAAACGACAAGTACTGTCTACTTGAGAAGCCAGCGGCGCTCTGCTTCCGTGACATTGATCTTCTCGTGGAGACAGAGAAAACGTCAAAGGGAAAGGTCATGGTTGGCACCATGCGTCGCTTCGCTACCGCCTTCACGGACGCCGTCAAGGAGGTAGGCGGCATGGAGAAGATTCAGTATGCAAGAGTCAGAGATATCATTGGGCCCAATTCGACCTTTGTCGACCAGTCCGGCACATTCCCTCAAAAGTTCAACGACTTCAGCGCCGCTGATACCCAGGACCGTGAGAGCAATGAGAAGGACATCTTTGAGCAGGCCCTGGTCAACGAGTTTGGGGTTCCAGCAACGCCCCAGTCGAAATTGATGCTGCGACTCTTGGGAGGGTATGTACGAACGTCGCAATGTCGTAATGACACTAACAGACTCGTAGTCTCGGAACTCACGACCTATCCGCCATGAGAGAGATCATCGGCATGCCAAAGAGCGTGGCCGGTGCGCACCTTTCCTTCCCTGGAATCTTCGCCGCCCTGTTCAGATACGACGACTTCCCCGTCACTTACGAGTCTGGCTTCAGCAAAGTTCCTCAGTTTGACGCCCATATTGAGGTCTATTCGCCAGAGAAGATTGTTCGCGTTGATTTCGACACTCCCTACGTGAAGGGCTTGCCAGTCACGATGACGATCCGGGAACTCATCGGCGACGCCGGTTTTCAGGAGCGCAAGATTCGAAAGACGTACGTCGATCCGTACACGACGGAGTTCTTGGACTTTTATGACTGCGTCGTGAACGGTGAGCAGCCAAAGACGAGCGCGGCTGACGCGAGGAATGACATTGAGCTTTTTAAGATGATAATCCAAGCCGACGCTGGAAGGTACGAGAGTGAGAAATAAGGAGGTCTGATAGATAGTATGAGGCCTTCAGCAACCGTGTGTATTAAGACCATGCATTCACCCTGGAATTTGATCATAGTATATCAGATTGTACTCGTGACTCAATCAACCTATATTACATTAACCGAACGCCGAGCCGCCTTTCATGCCCATCCTATACCCGCTACTTTGTTTCCGTTCACTGATTCTGCAACCCATGCCCTCTTCTTAGCTAAAAACCTCAACTCTCTGGGAGTTTCAGTCATATTGGGTATACGAATAACTAAAGTGGATTTCGGTCTTGATTGCCCCCTCCTCTACTTGCCCAAGACGCATCATTCTCAGCGCAAGTTTCGGCCACCCAGTAAATTTGTCCCAGTAAGCCCTCACACATTCTGGTCACAAGCCCGCATCACGATGTGTGACCGCACATCCCAATCAGATCCAAAATCCATCCAGACGCCAAGCGCTATGGCTTCGGCGTAGAACGAGCGCTTCTTTTCAAGAAGCGCCTGGTGAATTTTGTTAGAAACTTGTGAACAATCAATTGGGACGGTAAGCATGTCATCGGGACTCACAGAGCCACAATGATGTGCTCTACGCGCGGTGTTCAGTGTCCTTGGTTACAATACCGTTTCCTGGATGCGGACCTGTATCCTGCCACCCCCTCATCCCCGGCCTGCTTATGGCTGAGTGAGGCAGACCTGCTGTCCAGGGGAGCTGGGGCGAAACCGACTCGAAAGAATTCTCTGGCGTGAGAAGACCCGCGGGTTTCGTCGCACTGGCGGGTCCGGTTGTACCGTTTGGCGTGGTCGTGATGCTGGCAATGTCACAACGAGAATCCCGATGCTTTCTCTCAGGCCGATCGTAGAGCTGCAAGAGCAATACACCTCCCTCAACCTCACGAAGGACGTCCTCGGCAGAGGCGCCCGATCGAATTCTTCTGAGCACTTCATGGGCCTGGAACTCAGGCATGGACCGGATTGCGCGAAAGAAGCCGTTCAGGCAGTCATTCTGGCGCTCTAGTTCGGTAAACTTCCTTTTTATTGAGGCGCTACGCGACTCAGAGGGGTCTGCGGTGTACCGACAGTCGAATCCACGACTCGTGCATTGAGAGCATTTTGGACGGTCGGCGGAGCACCTGTCAGCGACGAGCAGATTAGTGCGCGCTGTCTTCAACGAGGAGAGGAGGTTCAACGGGGGGGTTGGGGAAGCGAACTTTGGTTTTGCGCTTCTTGCAACTCTCGCAAGCTACCCAGACATTGCGCCGGGCGGGTTTCCGGTCAGATCGTGGTGACGATGCATGGTGTGGATTGCGCGGTGACGTAGGCGATGTGGGAATAGCGTCGGGTTCAAAGGCGGGACGGATCTCCCGGTAGCAACGGTTACTGGCCATGGAGTCGTTCGTCACAGCGCAAATATCATGTTTTGCATGAGGGAGAAAGGAAAGTTATCTATGGCCAAAGACGAAGGAAATGAATTGGAATCGACTTTTGGGGGTCTCGCATCGATTTCTTGTTCGAAAAGGTCCAAGCCTGGCTAAGCGGCGGATACACGGTGCAACAGATGCTTTTTCAATCCCACCGTTCCAGACGGGCCCTTCTCCATCTGCGCGTGACGTCAATCTTATCTTCTGTCACTATTGCATCGAGATCGAACTGGAGGATGCACCGAGTCGCGTGTTCATTGGCTGCGTGGGTGAAACAGGGTCAGCCTGTGTCGCAGCGCCGCGGGTGCCCATGCGGAAAAGGGCGATGAGAGTGAAAATTGAGATGGGGAATCCGGGATCGAGATTCCTATCAGAATTAGGGGGTCTCCGGAAGCGATTCCGTTCGCACGTGGAGCGGCTGAACGATGCTGCGAAGCCGTTGGATCAGATGACGTCTCACGTGGAGAGAAGAGAGGGAGAAGAGTGGGTGTTGAATGGCTGGCTCCCCAACTCTACATCATGCTTCAATCACCTTCTTCTTGACGTTTGCTCATGTTTGTTCTGAACTACAGTGACCTTACATAACATTTAGTGGAAGGGAAATCAGAAACTTACCTGAGATGATAAGATGAGAGCCTGGTGAGTTTGCCGGACTGAAGAGTGAGGTAGTGAACACAGACAGCCCTGATGATCTCTGCCTTTTTGAGCCCGCGAGCTCATCCAAGCGACTCACTGGCAGAGTCCCGTTCGTCCATGGATTCTCGCTCCCAATTGACCCATTCGGATCATGTGCCCCGGTGGACCAGCGTAACATTCATCACTCTGGCATCTCACTCGTTCATCTCGTGTCTGCAGTCCCACCAAACAAGGTCAACAAGGTCAACCCGGCCGGTGAAGATGACCCGACGGTTGTCTGCCAACCCCTCTGCCAAGCAGTCGGGTCTACTTGGCTCATCATGACCCCATTCACACAATCCAAGCGGTCAGTTTTCATTACCAACACCAGCGTCAACTCTGTCAACAACACCAACGGCTGCCAAGCCAGCCAATTCCTCTCTTCCCTCGTCCGCAAGCCCTTCACCGCACCGAAATGACATCAACCCCAGGCGAACCCCGGCGCCAAAAAGGCATCGTTTCCAGGGCGCGGGACAGACGGATGCGACGCTCCAGACGCTAAAACCCCGCACGCCATCGCGCACCTCACCCGCATTAACTCACGGTAACCCCACAACCCCTGCACTCCGAATGCCCCCTGGACCTCCCAAGCTTCCCCTAGCTCCAACTGGGAAATACATCATATGAAAGCTGATAAACCTTCCATAGCTTCCCCCGCACCACCGCGCCCAACCCTCACCAACGGGAAAATTCTCCAGCTTTCGTCCAGCTTGGCGTCCCCAGCCACGATCCTCCGCTCGCTGCAGACTCCCAAGCTTCCCACGCCGCCTCTCAATGGCCCGGCACAGAGTCTTCGGTCTTCGGGCCAATGCAAGCCGGTCCGTCTCGGCCGCACCGCAAGAAAGACATGAAGTCAATATAAAAGCCCTGATGTCGCAGTCGAAGGTCCCATCCCACGAAGAATAAGCTCAGAGAGCCACGCCTCAAGTCAAAGTGTCAGCCAAGCTTGCCTCGACCACCACGTCCTCATCATGGCGCTCACCAAGCTCTTCTCGACGGGCCTCCTCCTCGCCTCGCTCGCGTCCGCAAAGTGGATCGTCCCTGGCGGCAGATGGCGTGATACCGAGGGCAACCTCGTCAACGCCCACGCCGGCGGCGTCACCATCGACCGCGACACGGGCAAGTTCTTCTGGTTCGGCGAGTACAAGGTCCAGGGCCAGGAGGAGGGCGGCGGTGTCTCCGTCTACAGCTCCGACGACCTGGCGACATGGGAGTTTCACGGCAAGGCCCTTGAGCCCATTGACGGACACCCGTATATCGACTCGGACATGATCATCCAGCGTCCCAAGGTGGTCTACTCCGAGCCCACCGGGGAGTACCACGTATGTCTGCCTCGTCCTCTTTTGCAGTCAATTGACTAACAGCTGCCTTCAGATGTGGTGGCACGCCGACAACTCAACCTACGGCCTTCTCCTCCAAGGCCTGGCGACCTCCCCAAACATCAGCGGGCCCTACACCTTCGTCGACGCCACGGCGCCTCTCGGCAACTGGTCCCAGGACTTTGGCATCTTCACAGACTACAAGGATGGCCGCTCCTACGCCCTCTACTCCAACGGTGACCGCCGCGAGGGCCGCGACGTCTACCTCAGCGCCTTCAACGACGAGCTCACAAACGTCACCGAGGTCGTCCACCGCTTCGACAAGTACGACCTCGAGGCCCCGACCATCATCCAGACCGACTCGAGCTACTACGCCCTCATGTCCCACAAGACGGGCTACCGCCCCAACAACGTCGTCGCCTTCCGCGCCGACTCCCTCGCCGGCCCCTGGTCCCAGCCCTTCTTCGTCTCCGACTCGTACACCCGCACCTACAACTCTCAGTCCGGCTTCTCCCTGCGCATCAACGGCTCCGAGGTGACGACCTACCTCTACCTCGGCGACCAGTGGGACTCCAACTCCCTCTGGGAGTCCCGCTACATCTGGCTGCCCCTCAGCGTCGACGACGAGAAGAAGTCCGTTCACGTCGAGTGGCACGACATCTACGACCTCAATGTCAAGACTGGTGTCGTAACCCCGATCGAGGGAACGACCTACACCGCGCACGACTCCGCCACCGTCTCCGGCAACGCCTTCAAGCAGGAGGCCAACTTCGCCAGCGGCGGCACCATCGTCACGGGCATCTACGGCAACGACAGCAAGGTCACCTTCGAGGGCATCGAGGGCGCCGGCGAGCCGCAGTGGGTGTCGTTCTACTACCAGAACACGGACGACATGGGCTTCGGCGACCAGCCCGGCGGCACGCCCGACCGCATCGGAGGATCGTGGCAGCTGCGCCGCATCGCGAGCGTCATCGTCAACGGCAACGAGCAGCAGGTCGAGTCTCTGTACCAGCGCGACACGCACAAGGGCATCATCCTGTCCACGCCGCTGAACCTGACCTTGGATAGGGGATCGAACAACACAATCACCATCGGCGGTCTGTGGAACGGATTCGACTTTAAGGGTGCCGATATCGACCGCATTGTGGTGTATCCCCCCGAGGAGAAGACCGTCGAGTCCAAGTAGACATGAGCGTCTCCACATAATGATAATAGTAAAAAGAAATGTGTATCTATACAATGCAAATATCCTGCCACACGACCTCATCAGTGATCGCTTCACCGGACATGACGCCGTGAACGTATGCATCGCAGACTATGACAAAGTTACCCCCTTCTACCCTTCTCATCTGCAGCGGCAGCTGCAGCCCCTGCAGAATCCATACCTCGTCTCCCAAAGCTGCGGAGTTGTCTAGCTGAGCCATATGCCCCCCATCAAGAAGCGTGAACAATCGATTGTTATGCAAAGAGCGGATCTGCCAGATTCGAAGATGCTCCTGTGCCCTTTCAATGACCGCCATCTTCTCCTCTTGCGATCCCTCCTCGGCCTCCTCCAAGTAACCCAGTATGCCTAGCCGAGCCTTCAGGTCTTTCGTGCCGGGATATAGCCCGGTCGTGTCCATGGCTGCCGTTTCATCGAAATCCTTCAAGTTCTCCTCCACAGCATCCCACTTCATCCCAGCCTGCAACTGCGCAACGGCAACCTGAAGCATGCAGGAAAGCATCCATTCGCGGAACGATAGTCCTACCTCGTCACTCGCTCCCAGGAGTCGGCTCATGGGCTCCTTCTTGTCCATCACGAGCGTGCGCCAAAACGCATCCACCGTGGGCCGGTTGGTGAAGGGATAAACAGGATTCGCCAGGCCGCTCAGAGCCTGTGCCAGAAAGTCCGTCGATTCGGACACGGTGCCGACCTTGAAACCTCGACAGTACAGCTTGTCACCCACGATTTTAATCCCCAGTTCTGCGTTCCCGGCATGCCTGGAAGCATCTTGCGCCAGATCCGTCACAATGGGCCCGCGGAAGTCGGGCACCCAAGACGGAAGACCTTCCATTCTCTCGTACGCCACGCCAGCCCGCGTGAGAAGTTCCAGTCGTCCAGACCCGACAATCTGGCTGGTGACTCTGGTGTAGAGGTCCTGCGATGGTATGTCGTAGTCCACACTGATCAGGGCGTCGTCGAACCCAAAGTCCACGAAATCGTCGCGGTGCCGCTCAAACTCGGCGAGAATCTTTTCAAACTCGGCGATGAACTTGAGCATTCCGAAGAGTCCATAGATCTGGTCCCTGCCGTCAGTGCTCTCAAAGGTCGAGGTGTTATCGAGCAGGTCCTCCAAAGCCTTATCCCATTTCGGGAACAGGACAATGGTGATGTGGCCGTCGGGTGTAGAAACCCCAGGGCGTATCGGATTACTCGGATCTCGGGAATAGAGATCTCTATAGTAGTCGCACCAGCTACGACAGGTGTTGATCGCAGTCGCGTTCATGATACCCATGTCAACCTGCCGATGGAGGCCGTTTTCGCCCATCAGTTGTTGGCCGCGGTACAGTGACCCGGAGTTCATCGTGAGCCAGGCAAACCTGCCCAGGGCAGGCCACGGTATCTGCTGATTCCCGCAGAGGACGATGACCTCCGTGGATAGTGCGACCTCCTGCACAACCCAAAGCCTCCGGAACCAGCGCCGCCCATATATGCCTTCGAGTGCCATCCAGTCTTCCAGAGCTAGGTCCGGGATCCCTGCCATTGCTCGAGCTAGGGGCTCATAGTCTGGAGTCGCGTTCACCTCCCAATAGCTGATACCAGGGGCATCCGACCACTTGTACCATGTCTGAAGCCTGTCTACAATGACTTCAAGAGCTCTTTCAAGCCCCGGCTTCTCCCTTCCTATCCACGCAACAGTCGAATGAGACTTGGTGTAAATCTTGTCCATGATAGCAACCTGCGCCGAGCGCTCGGCGTTGTCGTCCTGGTTG